GCTCTGAATGATTTCCTGGTTAGTAGCCAACATTTTTAGGTCACTCAAATGTTCCTGTCTCTAGTGATAACAACTCTTACAAATTTTCAAAGAGTTTGTAAGAAGGCAGTAAAAAGTCACCTCTCTACTTCAGTAAGTCAGCAAGTAGAAAAAACCATGATCATAAGAAGCAGCAAGCGATGTCAGTGGGTGGTAAATTGGCAAGGTAATCTACGGAAGGGCAAGGAGAAAAGAAAGAGCATGGAGAAACAATTTGGGGCTGAGAAATATGCCTCAGGAGGTCTTCAGTACTGTGCCCTAAAGTCGAGCTGTCTTTGTTCTACTCTCCCCTGCACACTTATAAGCTAGAGAGGTATTAGGTTCCATAGGTCAATATTTGGGGTACCCTACTGCTTAAGTAGGCTAGTCTGGGAAACTTGCCACCATATATGACTTTGCTCCTATAGGAAAATGCACCCCCAGGGTTGAACAATTGACTTACAAATGTCTTTGTGGAACATAATTGCTGCTAAAATTGGGAACTGCTAAAAATAGATTGCAATCTGGGATTTTCACTCCTAAACCACTAGAGAATTAACAGCTTTCATGAAAAAGCTTCTGCTTGCCTTTATCACAACCTATTTGCTCCAAGGGGTTAGCCAGGTTTAAAGAAGTGACTTTAACTGTGAGCTAAAAGAGATTTCCATGGTTTCTAGTAACGGGATTAAAAGTAATTCCAAATGTTAAGGCCAAAGTGATAAAAGAGTGGGAGATATTCTTTTGGTAGAGAAAAGGCAGCCATATCTCTGTATCCCTTCTGTTTTTCTCCAGCTTCCAGAAAGGGTAGAGAGATAACATTCCCTTCTCTCTATTCCTTTCTGCACTCTACGCCAAGAGGCTAGCTATGTCAGAAGGGGCAGGGCTGTTCTGCCTACTAAAAATGTGTTAGGTAGCTTTAGGCCAAAAAAAAGCTCAAATTTAAGTGTGATCAGAAACACCTGGTGAAGTGGTAAAAAATCCAGATCTTCTCCTATAATTTGGTCAGCAGGACTGGGGTGTGGCCCAGGAACTTCAGTTTTCAAATGAGTACCCCAGACAATTCTGATGTAGATACTTCATGTACCATACTTGAGAAAGAAAGCCTGGACCCTGGGGCAGAACCTAGATGTACAGCTAAGCTGCCGTTTGTGTGTGCATGTGTGTGAGAGTGTGTGTGTATGTGTATGGTGTGTATGTATGCACGTGGATGTGCAGGTGCTTGCTTCGCTTTAGTTCTGGGCTCCAGGAGATCCTCTTGCTCACGCTGAGGTTTTGATGGTACCTAGCTCAAAAGAACTCAACATTTGAACTGTAGCCTAGGCCAAGTGAAATAATAGCTCCAACCAGTTAGGCTGTAGACCTCTGATCCAGACCTTGCTGGGTAGAGCAGTCATTCTCAAACCTTGTTGCACACTGAAACAACCTGGGAAGCTTTAAAAAATATTTGGAGCACCTGGGTGGCTCGGTTGATTGAGTGTCTGACTTGAACTCAGGTCATGATCTCGCAGGTCAGACCCTGATGCATGGGTCTGAGCCCTGCATCAGGCTCTGTGCTGACAGCTCAGAGCCTGAAGCCTGCTTTGGATTCTGTGTCTCCCTCTGCTCTGCCCCTCCCCCACTCTCACTCTGTCTCTCTCTCAAAAACAAATAAACATTAAAAAAAATTACTGATGCCTGGGCTCTGCTTTCAGAGAGCTTGATTTCATTGGTCTGGGTATAATCTGAACTTTTTGGAATTTTTAAAGCTCCTTGGGTATTTCTTAAGTGCAGCCAAAGGCGAGAAGCATTGTGTTAGAGAAAATGATTTTCCTTTTTCTAGGGCCCTAGCTAAAAATAGTATTCACTCTTTTACACCATAGACACCATAGAAGAAAAATTGACACTTGCATTTCTGCAGGGCAAAACAAAAAAGTATCGATGATATATAAGTGATAATATCTTGAATAGTGTTTACTTGTAAATATAGTTAAGGATAATGAAAGTATTTTTAGTCTGGCTTCTTTTGTCCTTTGGCATAAAAGAAAGGCATGGCATGATATAACTCAGAATTCTCTAAAGTATCTTAGAGATAAAGTCAACTATGACAATACTGTTCTCTTCAAAAGCTTCCCCCAAAGAAACAGGGAAGTGTTAAATCTTGATGCTTTCTTTCTCTTTTTCCCGAGACATAGATGAATAGATTCATAGTTGATGTGGGTATAACATTTCAAGACTGTAATTTTATAGTCCTTTTCTAGAGATAAGTGAACAGAAACATATCAGTAGACTACAGTTTTTGAACAAATGGACAATCAAATTCTGATCATTAGAGGAATAATGTCTTTATTAGATTGATAATATCCTAATAGGCACACATTTAGTGACTAGTTTGCTTTAAGCTTCTTTTTCATAGAAATTTGATGTATTTGGATTTTGTGAAGATTAAACCATTTTTGTCAAAATACAGTACAATTCTGTATTTAAGAATGATGACATTTATCTTAGAAATAGCCTACATACGGTATGTCTGAGCTATCTTGGATCTCTGATGAAAAGTTTAAGAGCCTGTAAGTCTGTACTCAAAATTAAGATTCTAAATTGGAGGTCCTTGGACAGAGCAATCCATGGATATTGGGGAGGTTCACAAACTCCGAAACTGCGTAAATTTAAAGATATGTGGAACTCTGTTTTCCTAGAAGAAGGTCCGTAACTTTCATCAGATTCTCAAAGGGGTTATAACCACAAAAGTTTAGGACTCAGACCTCCATATATTTAAAATGAATCCTCCACTCTAATTCCCTTCAACACAGTGTATCACTGAGAACAAGATAAAGAAAAGGAAAAATAACAATCTACTTTGTTTTTCAACATGGCTCTTCTTGGGTCTGGAATTACAAATGGTTAAATGATGTCCTGGCAGTCCTTATGTCTTAGGTGAAAGTGCTTTGCTATAAATGAGCATCAAAGGGACCAGCAATGGCAAATATTCTGCACTTTGTTTCTTTTGCTGTAGGTTCCATACCATTCCAGGAAGAGTAGGCAGTTCTGACCAGCTGAGAAAAACTGCCATTGGCCAAGGGCAATGCTTTTAGTTTACAGAATGGGTACGTTTTTCTAATTGTAGGGCAGAGAATAAATTTTAATGTTTTCCTGGCTGATTCCCCTTCCTATATCTAATTAGATGGTGTCAGCTTTAGGTAGTCATTGTCAAAAGCTGCAAATGCAGCAAAGATGGACCTACCTTTAATCACACCCAACATAGGAAATTATGCTTTATAAAATGGTACAGAGTAATGACTTTATGAAAAAATTACTTTTAATAGAAAGTTTCCTTAATGTTAAAATTTATTCAACTTGCAAATATTAATTCTAATTCCCTTGTAGGATTACAAGGAAATACAGTTTTAGTTTTATTCTAGGTGACATTTAGCCTCATTTTGGGGAGAAATGTGACATTTGTTAAAACAATATTTTTAAATTAAATTTAATATTATATAGTATTACCTTTTCATGACAGAGTAGAGCCATAGGTAAGAAGCTAAATTTTCCCCTGGTGTGAGAAATATGATATCTGAAGTTAATTTTTTATTATAAAGGCCAATTCCAAAATACATGATCTGTATACATAGCTTTCATGGGGACTTAAGGAGTGATAATTACATCTGTACATATTTAGATATGAAGTTAAGCTATCATGCTTTTGTAAACTTTAATGTAAATAATAATGGTTTTAGCCTTTAGGAAAGTTAGTTTGCATTCGCCTAAACATGAAGAAAAAGAAATCTTATTTAACATTGAAAAAGCTGTATCCTTTATTTTGAATTATTGGACTAAATGTAAGATAAAGATGGAAATATTATAAAGATGGAAATTCCTACAAATGTCTAAAATTGACACTGCTGTCATTCTGAAGTTTGAGTAACCAGAACCCATCTAAAGACTGGTCTGTACTTGCTTTTGGTTTTCTAATCAGTTATTGACCCAAGCCATTTTCAGAGACAATCTCTAATTAAAACTTGAAAGTGACACTATATTTGAACTACTCCTGGCTTATGTTCTTGAACAACAAAGACAGACAGCTAAAGATTCCTGTGTGAGAAACTAATCAAATGAAAGCTAATGCTTGCAGCTAACAGCTAATGCTGTTAAAAATTAATGATTTTTTAAAATCCAGTGACTTTCTCCATGATACATAGATGACTGTGGTGGCAAAAATAAAAAACAAATCAATTCAAGTTATCTATTTGCAAACTAAAAATGAACATGACTGACTGCAGGACTCGTTAAAATTAGATATTAATTCTTCTTGAGGAATATGAGTGAAGGTACTATTCTAGGTGACATTTATCCCCATATGGAAGAGTGTAGGTTTTTAAAATTATTGTAACTGGCGTTTTACACCAAGTTAAATTTCTCAAGTATTTTCATACTATTACCACTTTAAGATCTTTGATAGTGGGATGTCCAGATAAAATCCCCACTGCAATTTTGGATTATAAGTAGTAGAGTAGAAGTACCCTTAGCTTATAAAGCTTAGGAAGAAATTCTGACCTATGTGTATTTTCTATATTGTTTATTTGAACTCAATTTAAAAAAATGCTATCACGCTACTTTCCCCAGTCCTGGCTGGTGTTCTTTTGGGGGAAGCTACAGTGGCCCATTGTTTAAAACAACATACAATCTAGCAAGGCACATGTCAACAAGGCTTTAGGTTAGAGCCAAATCTGGGAAATGTTTTTCAAACAATCTTGTCTCTATCCCTTCAATAAGAGGAGGAACTCTTGAAAGTGTGATGGAGGGGCACCTGGGTGGCTCAGTCAGTTAAGCATCTGACTTCGGCTCAGGTCATGATTTCACTGGTTCCTAAGTTCGAGCTCTGTGCACAGAGCCTAGAGCCTGCTTCAGATTCTGTGTCTCCCTCTCTTTTTGTCTCTCCCCTGCTCACACTCTGTCTCTGTCTCTCAAAAATGAATGTTAAAAAAAATTTAAAAAGTGTGATGGGAAAATTGTCGGGCCCTATAAGGGCCCTACTACTCTCATATTCTGTAAATGAAACGGGTGGGAAGAATTGTGTAGGTGCTAAAGCCTCCGGCGACTTCCTTCACTGAGCTTCCTAACATTAGAGTCCGGCTGCTGCCAACGTCATGGCAGCTGGGACCTGGCCTTTCTAGTGGTAGCCACAAAGAGCCGTTAGGCTTAGCTGATCGGCACTGGGTGAGGAGGTGTCAGGATCACTGTAGATCTGAGTCAGGGCTAAACTCAGGATTTCTTTCTTTTCTTTGTAAAATCGCAGTTCTTGTCCTGCTTTCCTGGCTTCCTCCAGCTCCCTCAGGGCCATCCGGAGCTCTTGAGAGAGAATTCCAGGTGATTCCTTTTCTTTCATGATCCAGTCCAGGGCCATGTGGCTGCGCATCTTTTCATCTAGGGAATACTGGGAATAGTAGGAGATCACTTCCTGGGAGCCAAGAGATAAAGTACAGAGTGTCAGTGAAGAGCAACAAAGGCACCTGTGTTCAGGGCCTTCCAACACCTCATTTCCTTTGTCCCTGACAGTCCCCATATCCACACTCAATACAGGTTTTACCAACAACAGAACCGCTCTGATGTTTACAGACTGAAGCCAAATCCCATGATATACTTCTTAAAGCAAATGAAGGACCAAGCTGGTCAGGCAAAGCAGGGTCACTTCAGGCTAAGTCAAAACACACTACCACCAAGAATGACTCAATAATGTTCACGAACAGAACTCTGATCTTGCTAGAAAATGTCTTCCTTTGAAAATGCATTCCTTCACGCATTCCTTCATTTATTCCTTAAACTCTTCCTGCTCAGCATTATCTCCTTCAGCAAGATGGAGAGATGGAAACAGTTATATGGGAGGACTAGGACCGAACTGGATTTGGTCACACCTCCTGCAGAAAGCAGGAGGCTTTGAGTCAGGACAAGACTTAGAAACCAGGAGAGTCCACTTCCTCACAAGAGTCAATTTGTTAGCATAAGGAAGATAGATGACAATCCAAATGGCCCACAGCAACTATAAAAGAACTTTGAAAGTGTATTGTGGAACATAGGCATTATCATTAGTCGATATAATGGTATCTTCATGTACAGTATCTCTTCTGCAAACAATTAAAACTTGGTCACCACTTGTCAATTCTTATGTGAAAAATTTGCCAATACATTGTAACATAATGTATAGGTTTGATGGATACACTTTAAGAAGATCTTATAGAGTGGATGCTTTGCTTATTTTTATTTTCAAGAACATATGGTATTTATTTATGACCTTAACAAATTAAAAACAACCATGGAAAAGTGTTTATAACCAACCCAGTGAATTTCAAAGGGCTTTTATAAAATCAAAGGAAAAGAAAAAAAAATAGCCAAAGCCATTGTCAGCTACTTATTTCTTTTCCATCTTTGACATTTTGAAAGCCAGACTTTCTAACCAAAGAACAACTAGAAACTCCTGGGGCTGCAGTGCATGGAAAACTCTTATATCCACCCATATCACTGACTAGTAGAGGCTTTATTCCTTGTACAAATTCCTGTTAGCAAATTCTCAAAAATAAATGGCCATCTTTCAAAGTCTAATGCTACATAAAGGAAGAATAAACCTTGGAAGATAGCAGGTGAAAGCTGTTCAATACACAGGAGAGGGTTTGCCTTTGCCATTTAAAAAAAAAAAGGCGGGGAAGTGTGCCCCTTGGGGACTTTTGGTGGAGGTGAGAAAAATCTTCCTGCTACTATAAGCTTTTCCCACTCTTCAGTGAAGCAGTTCAGAAGTCGTACATTCTCAAATTTCTTTCTGCATCTGAGAGTAGAAGAGAGTGTAAATTCTTTTTTTCAAAAAAATATAAGGTATTGTCAAGTTAGCTAACATACAGTATATACAGTGTGCTCTTGGTTTTGGGGTAGATTCCCATGAGGGGACAAATTCTAAGGTTTGGCAGGTGCATAGAGTAGATTCACCACTTGACTTAGAAATCAAGTGTGTCTTAATGATCCCTCCATTCTGGCATTTAGTACAGGTAGCTAAATCAATCCTATGTCCAGGCAATATTCTCCTTAGTATGCCTAGGTGGTCAGTCCCTGACTTAAATAGACTGTTTTATATTTTTTCCTGTATCTTCTGCTTTTAATAAATAAAGTACCAAATTTAAACAGAAAAATCCAAATAAAGGAAATCTAGGAAGATGACGAGCTTGTCTGCTCATTCTATACGACATAAATCCGTTCTTAATTGGAAAATCTCACCTGTCGGGAACACTTTGTTTCACGAAGGGCTTTTAGGCTTCCATTCCAGTGCAATAGTTGGAAAATGGTCATCAGCTCCTACAGCAGAAATGTGAAAGAAAGTGTGAGAGCTGGGCAGGGCATAACTCTGATTACCGGCTATCTCAGGAAAAGAGAATACTCAATATCATCAGAACACTTTGAAACTTTTCAAACACCAGAGTCTCTAAGATTCTCAAGCATTCTTTCTTCCTTCCTCTGCCACATCCATATTTGCACAATAAAATGACTAAGTAGTTGAAAAATATCTTTCAACATTAAAAATACATACGCTCGAACAACTCTACACCCAATAAGTTATCTAAATATACCAGCACATCTCAGAATGATGTGCAGGCAAAGTTATTCATTGTACTGTTGTTGAAATTGCCTGAGGCTGGGAATATCTTAAATGCTCATTTTTAAGGGAATAGTTTTAAAAAGTATGAAACTGAAGGGTAACAGAATATGCTACCCCAAAATATGAGTTGAGGACATGCCATTCCCAAACATGCCATTTTGGTATATTGATTATTTTAAGCTATAAGGAACTCAAAAACAGCAAATGCAGGGAAAGGCTTTCTCTGAACTCCCCTAATCTGCCTAAAGACACATTCTTCAAAAGGAATTCTGTTGTGATAAATCTCCTCCTGAGGAATTTCATTAACCAGGGAAGATTGACTCTTATTATAGAAAAGGAAACTGGAGGTCCACACCATACACAAACTTTGTCACAAACTATTATACCTCCTCTTTTATCTACTAAGGGCCTATCTTTCTTAAAAATAATTTACTATCCCCTAAAAGGCCTACATCTCCCACCTCCCCTTTCCCTATTAAGATGGTATTTTACCAAACATTCCAAGCCACCTCAGGAAGATACTTATATTTCTCTGAGTATCTCTTATCTATACATGAGGTATATATGTTAATAAATTTCTGTTTTTCTTGTATTAATCTATCTTTGATTACAGGGGTCTCAGCTAAGAACTCAGAAGGGTAGAGGGAAAATTATTTTCCTTCCCTACAGTACATTCATGCTACTGAATACTTTCATTCACAGAGAAAGGATGAGAAGGACCTCTAGGTTCTACTATAAAGAGTCTTTATGATGTATTAAAAGAAAAGCAAGGTGCACAACATGTATACTATGAGCTGGTATTTCATTAAAATGAATAGAAAACCTCTATACATGTTTGCTTGTAAATGCCTATGAGAATTCTGGCAAGATACAAAAGAACTGGGTAACATAGTTGTCTCTGGGGAGGGAACAGGAATGTCTGGGAGGATGGGGAGGGAGACCTCCTTCTGACATTCTTTGGTACCTATTGAGCTTTGAATCATGTGACAATATTACATATTAAACCATTTAAATTTTAGCCAAAAAGTAAATATAGGTATCATATAATGGACAAACTATAGAAACTATAAAATTCTCCTAGGTTTATAAAGTCAGTCAAGAAAATGCCTAAAAATATGGGTAATAAAGTGGAATTGACCTCAAAACTGATCCACAGTCCCTATATCCAGTGTCTAACACTGAGCCTGGCATTGAGCTTCTATCAGCATCTTTTCCTTTGATGATATGAAGGGTAAGCTAAACTGTATACAGATACTCAAGATTTTATTTCCTTATATAATTAGACATAACATCTTCCATTGAATTTGTCTGCATTTTTTTTTTTTTCTTTTTCGGTCAGAGAGACATCTATTGTGGACTAACAACACAAACCACACACACAGTACAATTAAAGAAATTCCTGGTAAATGATGCTAGTTATGAAAACTTAGCATTTAGACTGATGTCCTACTGACCGTTAAAAAAAGCTGATTGCTATTGTCTTTACCTCTGCTTGCTTAGGAAGAAGTTTAAATTATGAAAATGAAGAGACCTAAGACATTCTAAGATTTCAGACATCTTAAAATTATTGCATTTTAGGGGCGCCTGGGTGGCTTAGTCGGTTAAGCGTCCGACTTTCGCTTGGGTCATGATCTCGCGGTTCGTGGGTTCGAGCCCCGTGTCGGGCTCTGTGCTGACTGCCAGCTCAGAGCCTGGAGCCTACTTCAGAGTCTGTGTCTCCCTCTCTCTGACCCTCCCCTGCTCACTCTGTCTCTCTCTCCTAGAAATAAATAAAAATATTAAAAAAAAATTATTGCATTTTAAAGCTATAAGATGATCAGAAGAGCAAATATCACCATTCTTATGTCTAAAACTGCCAGTCGAATGTAATGGGGTTTTTTTTCCTTCTTTTCAGTTTGGGGTTTTGTCTATATTCTATTATTTGAGTAAGCACTCAGAGCCCCCAGAAATTTCAGTAAAAGCAAAACCATGTGTTTCCATTAATTAAAATAGGACATGGATACCAGTGGAATTACTCCTCCTACCCTAAAGAGAGATGCCACTATCTGCCTAGGGCTTTGGGTCCACTGCCCAGGGAAGCTGCCCCACTTATGCCCTCACTTCTCCACTTCTCCCTATCCTGGTCCAGATTTTCACTCTGTCACATCACTCTGATAATTTGGAAAAGTGAGAGTTGGTTTGTTCTGTAGTTAAATCTTATGTAATCTGCTTCTCACCCCTGTGCTTCTCATCAAAGTAACCCCAGTGACTGAAGCTGGTAAATCTGTGCTGTCTTTCTCACTGTACCTTTAAAACTACTCACTGGACACCTGGTAGCCATAAAAATGAAAAGGAACACTCTTTATGTGGTGATAGGAAACAGTCTCTGTGATGTTACAGGAGGGCAAATATTTCCAAATAAGATAGCTCTTTGCATTTCATGTTTTATTTTGCGTTCTATTATATATATCCAGATTTTAAAATAATGCATACCACCTCCACTCCTCCACTTTCCCCCCAACCTAAGTTTAGAATGGTTAAGCTCAGTTTAACCCAGAAAGATATAGTGAGTTTCTTCTGTGACTTTCAATAGCCCTCTTGGTATTGTCCTTGTGGCCCAGTTTGAGAAACAGCCTACAGGGCTCTTAATTCCATCATCTGACAATTTTTGCCTTAGTAACATATTCTTCCTCCAATGTCTTCGAAGCTCTCATTCTTACCTATACACTAACTGCTGTCCCCCTTCCAGATAAACTCCTGTCATTCCACCCAGCAATCCTCCACAATTCTGCCACGAACAGAGCCAGAAACCATACCCATGTCCCTTGGCAACCTACATCTCTCAAAAACTTCCTCACAGAGACTTGACCTGTTTTTGACCGTGGGAGAGCCCTTCTCCTTGCCCCTTCTGGTTTGTCCAAATTTCTGTTCCATCCCCAAGGAGTTTTTGCTGCAGCAGTAGCACAACTGCCTCTTTCTCCATGATGTTCTTGTTCCTAAAATCCCACAGGGAAGATGACCTTCTTTCTGCCTTCTTACATTAGACCCCAATCTAGTCATTGCCTTCCTCTGTAGAGTTGCAAATCTTACCATCATTATGTAAAGTATATTGAAATATGTCCACATTCCTCCTGTCCTACTTTTATTTCCCTTCCTAAGACCAACTTTACTATCCTCAGATCTTACTGAAGCTGTTTGAGCCCTTCTTTTAACCCCAGGAAATCCTTGTATGCCTCTCATTGATTCCATCAGAAATCCTTGCATTATTGCAGATTGGCAAGGAGAGAGCTGCTATGGTTTTCTGTAAGGATTCACTTCCTAGGTCATCATGATTCCCTGCTGCCTGGTTTTTACGGTTTTGTTTTCTACCCATCAAAGCCTTATCACTTTAAAGGAAATCTGTTTGGCAGACTATCTGCCCTGTTCCTCATTCATGTTTTTGTGCAGTGCTACTTGTTATGCGGCTGCCCTAGAAGCCGGAGAGTCTGGGTAGGCTGACAAGTAAACAAGAAGCTGGCCTATAGGTTGGGTTGGGACTAGGGTGAAGTGAGTGAAACAAGATTTCAGGTGAGTCATGAAAGTTCAGAGTCTTTTATTTAAAATTCTTGTCTGTATTTAAAATTTGATATTTTTTTATGAATTTTCACATTTATTTTGAGTTTTTAAAACACTGCATTATAGGGGCGCCTGGGTGGCTCAGTTGGTTGAGTATCCAGCTCTTGGTTATGGCTCAGGTCATGAACCCAGGGTCGTGGGATCAAGCCTCATATTGGGCTCCATGCTGAGTGTGGAGCCTGCTTAAGATTTTCTCTCTGACCTCCTCTGCCCTTCTCTGACTGTGCAGTTGCTCTCTAAAAAAATAATAAAAATAAAATATTGTATTATAATATTGTCTTTATCACTGAATATTTTGACACTCCTTTAAATTTTCTGTCTGAGGTGAATGCCTAACTCTCCTTACCATAATCTGGTCCCTTCTGGTGAGTCTGTCTCAGGGACAAGGCTGACTTCATGAATTTGTGATCTGTGCAGTCACACAGGACCCCAAGCTTGATTTAAGGCTCCATTGACTTGAAATTCTTAGTAATTTTTTGAACAAAAAGCCCTGCATTTTTATCTTGTTTGGGCCTCAAGAATTATGTAGCCAGTCCTGATCAGTAAAATAAATTTGAAATCAAATGGAGAATCAAGTCCTGTGTTTTCTTCATCTTCAGGAAAAAGTGCAAATTGCAGCTTTTATTCTTCAGCTTTCCTGGTTTGATTTGTCATTTATTCACTTTAAACCACCACCAGCTGGGCTCTGTCCTCACAGTGCTTCCTGGTGTTGCCTCCTTTAGGAACAACATTTGCCCTTTCAGCTACTTTGTGGGGAGAAAATGCATGCTGTTTCTCTCTAGAGCTCTGTCTGGGAAACTCGCTTGGTTCTGTGATTCATCAGAAATAAGAAAAACAAACACTGTAAATGGAGAACTTGAAAAACAGGTGGGCACCATCTCCCCACCCAAGAGAATGGATTTAAGAGGAAATTTGTTTATGGGATGAGGTTTTAAAAGGCGACCTGGAGAATTTAGCAAAGATGTAAATAAACAACTCGTCCTTGGACTGCATTAGGCTTCAGAGTAAATATATTAACCAGCTTCAGTCAAAGTCTGCCTCAAATCTGACCTTGACAAGACCCAGTGGCTAGTGCTGTCGCCATCCCTCCCCCCAAACATCAGGCAGTTTTCTGTATGGCAAGGCTACCCAGCTTCCCTCCCACGAAGTGAACGTAAGCAGAAGCCTATCACGTTTCCTCTGAGTGCTGCCTCCTTGACAGCCCCCCTGGAAAGCCTGCAGGCAGTCAGGAGACACCAGCCTTGTTTTTATATGGTATAGTCATCCATAGCTTAGATACAGACATACATCTATTACCCACCAGGGGTACTGAATTGCTGTGTCAGCTACAAACATCCCAGGTCTGTGGTCAATTCCCATTATGTGCAGAAACAAGCTGATGCATTTAACCCAGGCTACCAAGGAATGTGCTGGGACCCAGCAGGCAACCTAGAACTGGCGGAAGGAAAAGGGATGTGTTCCATGGCCCTCCTCCTGGGTTGCCAGCATCCCTACTGGGGGAGTGAGTTTGGATTTTTCTTGCCCTCACATCTTCCTCTTCCTTTCTCCCCCATCCTGTGCCCAGCTTCTGTTCTGAGAATTTATGAACCATTTCCACAGTTTGAGTCGTTATTATTTCACATATTTAAATACCTTACTACATAGACCACACAGAAAACATACAGCCCATTGCAAGGTATATTAAAGTATTACTAAACGGTAGTTGACAGCCTTTCACAGTACTTGAACAAAATTTTGAGAATTTTTTAAAATCCTGCCTTCCCCATCTTTGGCAGACTAACCTAACTGCACTCAAAAATCATTCTTAATTTTCTGAAAATAGCTACTAAATCACATACAAGCTACTATGTACTGGGGCAGGCAGCATTCGTTTTATAATAAAAGAAGTGCAATTTTCTTTGGTTGGAGTTGAGAGGGGAGGAATTGAAATAAATGAGGTTCATCTTAGATGCTTTATAAATGTAATGTTATGTGCATTCCACAAAAATCCTACACAATGGGCATATGATTCTTATTTTATAGATGAGAAAACTGAGTCTCAAAATAGATAAATGCCCAGGTGGGAGGTGGTAGAGTAGGTTTACACAGAGTTTGTTCAGTTTTGAAAAATTGGTATTCTTTCTCTTGTGTTATACTCCTTCCTTTGATTTTGTTCTCTTTGACTTTAGATTATATATGGGGGAAAAGCATGGACTGTTTACAGTTCCGCCCTTTTATTCTACATCAAGAGCCCTGAAACATTTAGTGCAGGGAGGTTTCTTTTCCTCATTTGAAACCTTTAGGTTAGACAAAGTTGCCAAGGGAACCCATCTGGCAGCCTTTGGCATTTCAAGTAAAGTAGTCTTTCTTCACAAGTATATATATTAACAGTTGTCAATCTTCATTGAGTATTTACTATATGCCAGGAACTGTACTAAACTCAATATTGTCCCATCCAAAGCTCACCATGGCACTGTGAGGTAGTGCCAGTACTATTAGTCTCCCTAATTTACATACAATGAGGAAACAGATTTAGAGGTGAGAACAGAGCCAAGCTAAATTGGACCAGCCCACTTCAGAGTCTGGGCTCAGAATCACTGAGCTGATGCATGCCCCTGTCTATCCCAGAGGCTGTGCTGTAGGGATACCTAATCCTCTTCAAAACCAACACAATGAACATCAAAGGTCAGTGAGACCACTGACACTTAAAAAGAAAATCTTGGTGGTAGTTGGTTAAGTGTCTGACTACGGTTCAGGTCATGATCTCACAGTTTGTGGGTTCAAGCCCCACATCAGGCTCTGTGCTGACAGTGCAAAGCTGTCCTCAGATCTTCTGCCTCTCCCTCTGCCCCTCCCCCACTCATGAGCACTTTCTCTCAAAAATAAATGAACATTAAAGAAAAAAACCCTGGGTGACCGAATGGAGAGAGTAATTCTGAAGGCAAACAAAGGACTAATGAGGGAAAGTACTGATTTTTAAAAATGGGCAGGAAGGACATATCCACCTGCAAAGTGGCTATGCCTTTACAGTCCAGAAAATAGTTGAAAGGTATTCGAAAGCCGTGGTTTCAAGGCTCAGGTGTAACAACACCACTGTAAATGACACCATGATGAACATTTGGGTCCATAAAACATTATAACTTTGCTTCTTGCAATCTAACAATAGAAATACTGGGGGTATAGTCTCTTCATTATAACATTGTGTATTGATTTCTACTAGCATTGCATAAATATGGATATTCAATGTTCAAGTTTAGATTTTTTAGAGGGCACACATTTCATGCCGAATCACTGCTGAATTTTCATCTGCACAGCCCAATAAAAGATAACAGTTGAGGGTGTGAGCTCAGAAATCAGACCCTGTGGGTCTCCTTGCTCTGCATTTGACTGAATATGGCCCATTTACTTCCCTGATGACATGGGGATAATAAATATTCATATATTTATTGTAAGTGTTTAATTATGCTATTTGTTAAAAATGCTCAGCTCAGTAAGCACAGTGTCAGACAAAGGAAGCATCCAACAAGTGTCAGTGAGTATTATTCTTACTGTTAATGTTATTAAGGTAGTTACTTAATTTGCAAATAATAGGTCTTAGAGTTCTTCAGCTCTATTATTCTTTGTCAGCAGTGGATGAAACAGAGTTACAGCTTGCTAAATGTTTTGATTTAGTTAACAATGGGTGGTGGCAGATCTTGTTTAATGGAAATACCAAAAAGGGGGGGGGGGCATTGTTCAATATACACTGTGGGCAACTTCATCTAGGACTTCTGAAAATTAAGAACCAAATGGTCACAACCAACACTTCAAAGTGCTCAATTTGGCTTAAAAGAAACTTTGTACTGAAAAGCTGGTGAATTGTTACAAGGTCTTAAAGTGGTTGCGTTCCCCAGCTGTTCCCTAGGCCTCAATCCTTTACTTCCCTTTAAGAAAGCAAAGACTGCTTTGTTTGCTTGTTTGTTTTAGCCTACTGAGGTGTGGCTAAGCTGGAGCTACGATGCTGAATTCTAAGAGGGTTAAGTGAAAAGGCCCAAAACAAAACAAAACAAAAATACTAGATTATTGGAACAAGAGATATAAGAGTAACATTCTCCAGGGTTTCTGGATTGTGTGGCAAAGTAAAACGTATAGCAGGAAGTCAGGTACCTGAAATTCCAGCATGGTCTTCCCCATGTTTGACTCCAGCATGTAGTGGTAGGCTCCAATGCTGGTGCTGGGGTCATCTGCATCATCCAAAGTGCCCTTGGGAGGAAAGCAGCAAAGGAAAATATTAGGATTTTCCCCCCTCTTCTTTCGGTGTTCATGAATTAATGCTGTGGCCCTACAGTGAAACTTCTACTGTCCTGAACCTTCAGGTGTACTTTCTACCACCAAGTCTCCTGCTGATTTGGGATAAAATTCTTAATCTCAGCATGACTCAGAGTAAAGAGGAGGATTTCATAATCAATATGAATCTAGCTTTTGATTAGAATATTAACTAATTATATACTTGCTAAAAGAATAATTTTCCCAAAGCAGAAATTTCTGTATCTTTGCACAAGGTCTTTCCTGTTGATAGTGGTTATGTTTGAGTAGGTACCCTCTGAGGCCTTCATCTGTTATGAGAAACTTTGAAATGCTGACCCTGTTCTGATTTGATGGCAACCAGGCAAGATTACATAACAGAGGGCAAGAATTCTCTGGTTGTATGGACCATTCATATTTAACTGCTACGATTCTTAATGGGTGTTTTTATAATCCATTGCTGTTTGACCTGGAGACATGGATCTTGGTGTATATTTTTTTTCACTTCTGGACTGTTTAATATTTAGGAAACAAGGTGGGTGGGTGATGAGTAGAAATGAAATTTCCCTTCAATTTGGTTAGGGGTAATGACAGTAAAAAAAACCTAACACGCACACACACACACAAAACTCTAATTGGGGCACGCATCCCCTTTAGTATCCAGGACCTTAGGTTTCTGGGAAAGTGGGCAATGCCTTTGTGAGACTGAACAAACAACTGCCAGCATCAGATAGTAGCAAATTTATAGCTTTTGAATGCAATAACATTAACATGCTGCTGCTGAAATATTTATGTTGGCTTTTTAAATATCCCAGAGGAAATCCATTCAGAGCCTGCAAACCTTATATATTCTCTTTCCTGAGAAATTTCCATGAAAAAAATGATAAATTACATTTACACTGAGGGCCCCTCCCTGCTTCTGAGTAAATTCCACACATATAAATCAGGCATCATTTTCCTAACTCTCTTCCTCAAAGGCACTTGAATTTTACAGGGCAAGAAAATAAAGGCTTCCTTTCATCCTGACAGCAGATACAGAACAGAGCTCCCTGATGTCTTCCTGCCGGGTCAACCACTCTCTGTCCCTTGCCCCCTCTCTTATCTCTCTTGGGGGTGACAAGAGCATTTACAAGGGGCAAAGGAACAAAAAGGTCACTGCTAGTGTGATAATGTGTCCTTCATTTTCAGCACCTTCTCCAAAATGACAGAACCTTTATAATCAGATTAAGGTAATCAGAGAATGTAAATCTCAGATGGGGTTTATCCATGCTAAAGGCAAAAGCAGGAGGTGGCTAATTCCCTCAGTAATGCCAAGTTCCTGTCTTTGGAGGACACACATGGAGATGCTTGCCACAGTAGGAAACCAAGTCTCCATCCATTGTTTGTAGGCAACAAGGATCAGAAGCTCCAAATCATCAAGGGGCAAAACATCTACTCCTGGGTTGCTAAGAAAATATTCTATCTAAATTTCTAAGACAGAGCTTTTGTTCCTAAAGCATCTTGAATTAATTATGTCCATTTTAGAAATTTTCTCTGTAAAAAATTTTCAGCTCTCTGAAAGAAGTAATTCCTATTAAGCATGATAATTCTAAAATCTAACAAATATCGGGCATATGGCTTTTCCATATGTAAGCAGTCAGTCTTTCCTTAAAGATACAGATTGCCAGATCCCTACCCAGACTGGGGAATGGGTACTTTTAATAAGCGCTTAGGATAATTTTTATCATTAGTCAAGTTTGGGGAAAAAAATGAGCTAGCTTATCTCTAGATTAAAGTAGTATTCAGTCGCATGCATTCCCAGACCCTAAAAGAATCAATGCTTTTCAAACAGCAAATATTCAAATAAACAAATCAGGATGGATCAAATTATCTACTTTGATTTAAAGTTTGATTAATGGTGATCCAGGGTGGCTAAAAACTTCTGTGATGTGGCATAGGAAGCCAGTTCCAATTTCTTGATTTCTAGTCCATGTGTTTGTTTTGTTAAAAATCAGTAAAACTTAAACTTGCACATTTTTTTAAAGTAAACTCTGTGTCCAGTGTGGGACCTCAACTCACAACTGAGCGAGCCAGGCTCCCCAAGCTCTTTTTAAAAAAGTTCCTATATAAGGAACTTCCCAAGTTCTTTAAAAAAAAAAAAGTTCCCCAAGTTCCTGCAGAGTTCTTGAAGAATTTGCTCATTTGAGTACTTCCCAAGATGGAAATGCCTCAGTGTTGCAGTGCAGCCAGCTCTCTACATCAGTGGGTACTCACACTGGTGGAGGCGACTGCCTCCTGCACACTCTCCATAATGAATTCCTTAGTGATCCTTCGAGAGGGCAGCTCATTGAAGAGGGAGTTGATGAGGGCCACTTTAGCAGCATCCCGTCTGGCCTCAGCTCTACTTAGACAGCACTTAAGAAGGAAAGAGAAAAGGAGTCATTACAGGATTCAGCATCTCACCATTTTTGTGTGTGTGTCTCTCTCTCAGTGGATCTCTGGACATTTCCATTCATACACTTACTCTCTGTACTTATTCTTTCTTACCCATTGCTAATAATCCCCTGAAGATCATGAGATTATCTTTCTCCCCTAGAGTCCATGCTAATGTCTTGGTTTGTCTTCCATTGATTTTTGTCTTATTTTACCATCATTAAATGTCTACTCTGCACTAGAGGCTTTGCATACTGTTAATAAACAATAATAAAAGTAATAACGGCTACTACTGTGTATTTGGTGATTACATTCGTTTTCAGGGTCTTCCTTAAATTCTTATTTCAGAGAAAAAAATGTAAGGAAAGAAGGAAAATTATATATATATATATTTTTTTTTTTTTGAGAGAGAGAGAGACAGAGTGTATGAGGAGGGGAGGGGCAGAGAGAGAGAGGGAGACACAGAATCCAAAGCAGGCTCCAGGATCTGAGAAGTCAGCACAGAGCCAGACATGGGGCTCAAACCCATGGACCATGAGATCATGACCTGAGCTGAAGTTGGACACTTAACCAACAAAGCCATCCAGACACCCTGGAGATATTTTTAACAGAATAATTAAGGACACAGTTTCTGGAGTTAGACTGCTTAGATTCAGATTCCAGCTATGGTACTTATTTGCTAAAAGACTATAGGCAAGTTAGCCCTTTCTGTGCCTCGATTTCCTCCTCTGTAAATGGGAATAATAGTAATTCATATGTCATCAGGTTGAAGATAGGCACACTTAGTTAATATAGATAAAACTCTGAGAATACCTGGTACATGGGACTATCTCAGTCTCATTTATATGTGCTTCCATGTCCAGGTTAGGATAAAGGAGCTGATGTCAAAATCGATTGTTTTTCTTTTCCACCATTTATCCCCCACTTTCCTTCTAATAATGATTCTCTAATTTTCTTGAGGTCCATCCTTTCCACCTTGCTCACAGTCCGTGTAGTTGTAGTTTAGGTGAGACATGCCCTGTTTGGCCTTTCTGAAGTTAGGAATCTTAGGCAAACTATGATTAGTAACTCATAAAAAAAAAAAAAAAATCCTCCTAAAAGTAATATTGCTCTCCATTCTCCTAACCTTGCTTTCCTGTGGCTCACATGAGTCACTCAATGTATCTTGATTCTTTTCTATCCTGTCTCTTTTGTTGTCAGCTACAACTCCTCTTATTCAAATTCTGGCTTAGCATGCACCCTGGGGCGCCAGGTAGAGGGATGAAGCCCTGTGAGAATTGCACTGTCCTTGGAGCCCACTCCTACTGGAGGGTGAGATGCCATTTCTCCTACAGGTTCCTATGAACTGTCAAGGGTCAGAGAACCTCCTTCAAAACTCCTGGTGGGAAACACACCCCGGAAAAGAGAAGCCCAGAATCGGGTCCTGGTCAACAAGGTGGCCAGGCACCTCTGGGTCTGCTACTTAGTGATCGTGAGACCCAGGCTTCCTGAACTTTGGGACTTATTTTCTCACTGGACAAATGAGGGGGGCCAGGCACTCTGGTGTCCAAGGCTTCTACTGCCTAAAATGCTTGATTCTCAGAATCAGTAGTGTCTGGTGACTGATGTGAAAGAACAGGAAAAATATCAAAGATCCCACTTTATTTTGTAGTGTTGTAGCCTCAAGGATTCACTAATTTTACAGGGAAAAAGCTAACCACATCCACCCCAGTTTGCTTTCCACAACCCCCTCACTTTGCTTTCCATACATCCCAGCCTCTACCTCATCTTCCCCGCACTTGCTATGCCTGCACTGACTGAAGAACACTTCAAACTCATGCTCTTGTCTCCTCCAAGGCTAGCCTCTCCTCTCCATCTCCACAAAGTCAGTATGAATCCTTTGAGGTCAGGCCCTGGCCCTCTGTGATTTTCCCACTTCAACCTCCCTCTTTGGGCAGTTGTGATGACTATTGTAATGATCCCATACTTGGCTACGGACCACTTCTCCGTGCCTCCCTCCTAGCCTCCAGGCCTGGGAAGGCAGCTGGTATACTTCTTGAGCATCCTCCAAAGTGCCTGCTCACAGGGTCAGCACTTAGAAGTGCTCCACATGGCTAGGGTCAAGGTGAAGTAATGACAAGACTTCTGAAATAGGAACATGACCCCAGGGAGGATGGAAAAAAATGTGCAGGAGCCTTAAAAAACAGCAACTATATGCAGCTATTTTAGTTTACAACACAGAGTTCTAATATCTCCTTTTTAAATAAAGAATGGTACTGGGGTGCCTGGGTGGCTCAGTTGTTGAGCATCTGTCTCTTAAAAAAATTTTTTTTTAATGTTTATTTATTTTTGAGAGATATAGAAAGACAGAACGCGAGCAGGGGAGGAGCAGAGAGCAGGGGAGACACAGAATCCTAAGTAGGGTCCAGACTCTGTGCTGTCAGCACAGAGCCCGACATGGCACTCAAACCCATGAACCGTGAGATCATGACCTGAGCTGAAGTCGGACACTTAATTGACTGAGCCACCCAGGAGCCCCTGAGCAATGGTCTCTTGATTTCAGGTCAGGTTATTATCTCACAGTTTGGTTTGTGAGATCGAGTCCTGCATTTTAGGCTCTATACTGACAGTGTGGAGCCTGCTTGGGAGTCTCTCTTTCTCTCTTTCTCTGTCCCTCCACTGCTCTCTCTTCTCGGCCTCTCTCTTTTCCTCAAAATAAATAAATAAAATAAAAAAAAAAGAATGGTGCTAAGTTGTAAAATATATATGAAAGTGGTTCTAGTTTTTTCTCCTTAGAGTTGAGTGACAAGCAAGAAGGCTTTGGAATAGCTTCAAGCAGCAAAAGCCATTCAAGATTTAGCTCTCTCCTGAGGCATAGGCTACCTGTATTCAATTAGGGGGATCTGGACAGATAGGTTGATTTTGTCTTATGGACTTGGCTGTGAATTTATGGAACATTGAGTTCTATGTCAGAAAGCTTTCACTGAAGCTCAGGTGCTACCTCTTCCAGGAAGTTTTCCCTGACCACTCCAAGGTGAGGGTGGATCACTGTTCATGAGAGGCATTCACTACACTGCCATGTAATTATCTGCCAGTGCTCTGCGCCATGACTCTAGGCTCTGAGCATCCTAAAGGCAAAGTCAGTGACTAAGTCATCTTTATGTCTCTGGTCTTGAAATATAGTTTGTTGAATGAATAACTGAATACAGCCTAGAAAATTCAACGAGTCTTTTTTTTTAATTATTTAAAATGTTTTATTTATTTTTGAGAGACAGAAAGAGACAGAACATGAGTGGGCAAGGGGCAGAGAGAGGGGGAGACACAGAATCTGAAGCAGGCTCCAGGCTCTGAGCTGTCAGCACAGAGCCTGATGCAGGGCTCTAACTCACAAACCCACGAACCACAAGATCATGACCTTAACCGACTGAGCCACCCAGGCACCCCGAAAATTCAATGTCTTTAAGGCACCTGAGAAAATGCTTAAGAAATCCTCATAAAGAAGAGAATTTAATATACGTACTTATTATTTTAAAAATCCCATTTCAATATACCCTGTATGATATGTATTAACACAGTAATATAAAAATATATTAATATGTGAATTTCAGAGGGATAATTGGCCATTAGTTCAGGCATGCTAAGATTATCATTTTTGCTTGAGTGTAGAATGTTTATTATTCTTTGTAAAATCAGTTTCCCATCAGAAAGCAAAGTTTTTGCAAATATTACCTGACATCTGTAGGAGTATCCCATTTTAAAAGGTATTTTCTTTACAAAATCTATAATAGAGCCATTGGGGTTTTAGACTTTAGAGAATTAGATTCAGATCTGGGCAATCTTAAGAAACTTTATATAACTTTTTATCTAAATAATAGCAATTTAAACTGTCTTTCATAGAGAGAGACCTAGTAAACACTACTTAGATAAAAGAAGCTATCTATTTTAAATAAGACCAGCTAAGTAGTAGATCAAAGGCGCCACATACATTTACAACCAAATGGCACTGCTTCTGAGATCAAAGTGCTGCTGGGCTGAGAGAACAGAAGAGCCTTTTTCCAGAAAGCATGAAAAAGGACTATGGAGACTTCACCAATATCAAGATTTTAAAGCAGACACATGTCTTTACTTATTTTACTGTTTCAATGTACAGAATCTTTGGTTAAAATGGGGAAGAAAGTGTACCAATTAATAAGTACATAAAATAAAATAAATTCTGAATCATCAAAAGGCTTTCTTGCTATTGTTCTTCGCATTTCTAAAAGGCAAGTACTTCAAAATGTCTATAATGTTAACCAGGCGCTTTCTTCTAAAATTTAGAGCTACAAATCCAAGCCAGTAAAGGCTGTATATTTTTCTTTAGGGATATTTAAATGAGATCTCTCAAACCATAAGGGCCTGCACTTGGGCAAGAAATGTAGCCAAAAGCAATCTGCTTGGCAAATCTAAATCACAGTGTGGATTCTGCTGTAAGAATAGGCACCGTTAGAGTTACCATCAGTAGGAAATGCTGCAAGAAAATAAAATATGGTAAGTGACAGGTCATTTTATTGATGTGTCCAAATCAGTCATCAAAGACATCAGTTGGGGAGTGAGTGAAGTATGATGTTATTTCAAAACAACTTCCTGCTAGAATTAGACTTCCCAGGTCGTATGGTTTATTCTCGGTTTTTCAGCCAGACCTCAATCATAAATACAGATTCGTAAACCGTGCCTTGTCCGCTAACTATTCTTACTTGTTAATATAGAGAGACAACTTTTGTCCTTTGCACTTTGTTAAAGTGCAGAGCTGGAATATTTAATAGTTGAGATTTTACTAAAGTCAGCTGTGGATTTCTCAGGCATGTGAAGCCACATGATTTTCAGGCGGCTAGTAGACCCCACTCAGACATTTATCTTGATGCTCAGATGCCTTTCATTTGCTGGTACATTATAAATCACTATAATAATTTCAAAGCCTCCTGGCTCTAATCTAAAATTAAAGCAAAAAATAAAAAACTAAAATA